CATCCCACTCACTTACCGCGCGTTTCTCACTCTCACCTCTCCTACATCCTCTTCGTTCCTCAATTCCTCTCCCCACCAGCCGTTACTTCCTATGACACTTTCCAATATCTTTACAAACAGTCGCGCAACACATCGACGCCTCCTACATTCTCCTCCCTGCTCCCTCCTTCGCCCTGCGCGAGTAGCGCTCCCTTTCTCAAGATCATCTTTTTCCACCACGTCGCCCTTTTTCAGCGCCTTGTCGCCCAGTTTTGAGGGCGGATTCGGGGGGTGGGGTTGGTGTTTTGGTGAGGAGGAGGGTTACGAGGTTTATGTCTATTGAGGGGTGTTGTTCGAGGAGGAATGTGAGTGGGTGGGGAGGTAGGTGTGGGTTTTCCTTTGTGGGTTCTGGCGAGGGTGAAGGATTTGAGGCGTGTGGCGGGAGTGCGGTTGGGTTGGCGCCGGCGTCTAATACGAGGTTTAGTATGTCGAGAAGGTATTTTGGTGATGGTGGTGGAATTAGGGGAATCTGGTGTAGGATAGCCCAGAGCATGGATGGGCCGAGTGGTGAGTGTGGGAGAGCGTTGACTTGGAGTCCCATTGATAGCATCTGCTGAACATCCTTGACTGGGAATACCGAAGAAAAGGCAGTGGCTTCCGCATCTGGAGCTCCATATCTTGGAAGGGATCTTGCACGGCGTGCCCATTCACACTGAACCAACATCTCCATGACCCGCTGATCAGACGGTGCTTTCATGTCGAGACACCCTTCCCCCCAGTCAGCAAGTGTAAACACCGCCCCATTCCCAAGTAGTGCTTCCACAAAGTCCGGCTTCTTCAGCGTAATCGCATAGTACAAGGCGTCGCGGTTCCTGTGGTCCTCATGGCTCACGCAATTCCAGCTTGCTCTTCGGTCAGCCGGCTGCGCCAGCAAGACTTTGACAACCGGCAAGCCGTCTTCCGGGAGCGTCTTGACAGCCTGGATGAGCGGCGTGGCGCCTGAGCGGTCGCGTATGCTCCGGCTGATACCACGCTTGCAGATTGGCGCTGCGGCTGCGGCAATGTCTGACCATGTGGATGAGCCGGTTGGAATGCTCCTTGCGACGTGGTGTAGTGCGCTCATGCCGTTATCGTCCCATGAGTTTATGCTTGGGGGAATGGCAAGCATCGATACAACGGACCATTGTTGATGCTTCACTGCGAGTAGTAGTGGAGTGTTCCTGCCGGAGTCGACAGTCGAGGTCTCAGCGCAAGCTCGCAGCAGTAGACGGATGGTCTTCTCAAGGCCATTCGATGCAGCCAGATGTATTGCAGTCTGTGAACGGGAGTTGGTTTTACGAAGATCTGAAGCCTTGATCAAAGACTCGAGATCTGGCTCCCTCGCTTTGTCACCCAGTGTCGTTGCGAATAGTAGAGGCGTAAGTCCGTTCAAATTGACGTGTTGAGGGTTCGCTCCATTCTTGAGCAGAACATCGATGCACTGCCTGCTGTGAGTCGCAAGGTGTAAAGCAGTGTTGCCTTTGTAATCCTGCACGTTGACCTTCACTCCTGCCCCAATGAGCAGGTGCGCGACCCTCGTGTGGCCAAATTCAGAGCTCACTGCAAGATGAAGCAATGTCTTGCCATCTGGACAAGTCACCAAGGCATCTGCGCCTTGTCTCAACAAAGTGTCGAAAATCGTAGCCATGGCCTTTTCGTCCTGTGCGGACGGGCCTTCGAAAGCAGCTTGCAGAACAGTAAGACCCCTGTACCGAACAGAAACGTCTGCATTGTGCTTCACCAGCGCCTGAATGACAGATGGTCCCGCGCACTCCATTGCAACGAAGATGGGAATCTCTCCCTTTCCTGTCTGGCGATCTGGATCTGAGCCCTTTTCGAGAAACATTTCCACCAAACTCTGATCATTCCTCTTGATCGCTTCCACGAGCACGGTGGAGTCTGGATCGCATGCTGCCGTAAAGATATCGGCAATGAGATCGTTCCCGATTGAGAGGCGACCTTGCGTCTTCTGCACATGCTTCAGCAACATCTCCTTCTCTTTGACGAGCTTGCTGCGCTTTCCATGTGCAGCATTGATGATGGCAACGGCTGCATGCAGGTTGTTGGCTTTTAATGCCACTTCGGCTGGTGTCTGGCTGTATACGTTGAATGTATCGTATCTCGCTCCCATTCTCAATAAAGTGACGATCGTAGCTAGTGATCCAGACGTTGCTGCTGCGAGATGCAGTGGCGTCTCCCCAGACTCATCAGTTTGTACGTCCAGATCAGGACCAGCCGCAATGATAACATCGACAATGTCGCTACGGCCATGTCGAATTGCTACGTGTAGAGCAGTCTCCCCGTCTCTTGTCCTGGCGTTGACGTTTGCGCCTGCGTCGAGCAGAATCCGTATGATCTCGACGTTTCCCCTTGCCACGGCGATGCAAAGAGGCGGCTGGCCTAAACCGGTGACATCGTCTGGCGATCCGCCGCTTCGTAGAAAGTGAATGAGAGCGGCCTCGCGTTGGTGATAGACTGCATAGTATATCGGTGTCCATTCCTTCGAGGGCAGAAAGCTCTTGTCACCTTTCGATACTGTAACTGGCTTGCCGAACTTGCACCTCAAAACCTCCACCGAAGTCTGCAGCGTAGAAGCTTTTCTTTCCAAAGTACTGGTGGTGACCGGGTCTTTCTTTTGCTCTAGGTCGAGGGATCGTGGTATTGCGGCCTCCATTGAGCCAGCACGAGATGAAGAACACGTGCAAGACCTCAACATCTTGTACAAATATGAAGAGAGAAAAAGAGAACACAAGAAGAAACCCAGAAAAGCCAAAACGTCAAAACACCACAGAAAAGTGAGAGCAAAACAACGTACCCAATCCCAAATATTAACTCCAAAAATTCACAAACAACCCATCATCCATCCCCCCAAACCCACCATCGTCCCCCCGAATCCCCTTATCCCTTTAACGAAATTGAACACGCCACACCACCACCCAAACGCTTCCCGCACCCGCAAAAAGTAAACCAAGTAAATAGCGCCCATTCAATCAAGCCATGCACGTCGTACCATCTCCCCAATCCGAGTCCAATCCCAAGCGCGTGCTCCACCTACCAATGCCGCCCACCCAGCATTCCCCGTTCGACTGAAAAAGAAAAGAAAAGAGTGTGCCAAAATTACGGCATGGGATCTATAGCGCTGTCTCTCTCACTGTCCCGCGCTAACAGTAACAAGTCAATCTACCACGCCTCATCTCGCCGTGTCGCGATTTCGCTCGTCCCCCATTCTCCACATGGAGAGTTTACCATACATGCCGCACCCCCCCCTCAACCCATTCCCCTCGATCTCAGCCCCAGCCCACACAAGCCAACCCGCCAAAAGCCCAGCATCGCGCTCACGCCCATTGCACATCCGCGCTTCCTCCCCCTACGAATCCCAAGCTGTCTTCGTCGCTCTCCGCGCACACGAGAAACTGCGTTCACGCGGTGATGGGCTTGCGGGTAGCGCTATCACATCACACCCGGCGACTGACACTTGTGCTCACGAGCGTGCATGTGTACCTGCGCTACGGTACCAGAGTGCCGAGCACACTCAACCGCTGTCACGTACGCAATGTTGCGAGGACGGAAATCCAGCTCCTTTTACGACAGTCACATTGGAGTGATGCAATGAGCGGATGCGAGGAGATTAGGAAGGTTAGAGTGGCGTTTCGGGGGCGCTCGCTACCAGAATCTCACGGCTGTGGCTTGATTGGCTCGGGGGAAGAAACATGGCTGTGGATGGTGCTGGTTCGCTGATGGTAAATCATGGATTGCGGGTGTGGTGGGGGAAGCACGGTGGTGGTCGTGAATGGATAATTGGCGAGGGTGTTGGAATGGCTTATATTGGTGCTCATGCCGACCTTCTCAGTCATCGCTCGCTTTTCGGTAACGCGGGAATGGGGATCGAGATTGTTCGCACGATTTGATGGTTGGGCGCAACGCCACGGGCGGGAGATCTCCTGTTTCCAATAGTACGGCAGGATAGAGTTTAGAGGCTGACGGCAATGGATTGCTGATTGAATGCCTAGGCAGTAAGGGGATAGGGGAAGCGAAGTGTATGTATTCCCTGCCTTTCTTATAGGTACTTTAAACGAATGTGGTGAGATATGCAAGCTAAGCTAAAACATATTTCAAAAAGTCAATGCAAATGACGAATTAAACTGTGCCATACATGCATGCCTTGCATATACGACAGCTTGTCAAACGAAAGCCAACAAAAATCCACCGCGTTTGTCTCTATGATCCTGGAGGCTGGATGAAGCTGCGCATATCCAATAAGAGCGGTGAGACTCTCGGTCGTTATCCCTCAAAACTTGATACCCAGCTTCCATCCAACTTGAAGGGCTCGGCTCCACACAAAGCATGCCGACGAGAAGATGTAGCAAATGATCGTCCATACCACGACGCCCCAGTATGATCCACCGGTCGCTTGAAGGATACTGCCAGCAATGGGAATCCCAGTCAGCGTACTGAATGAGACAATAGTGTAGCATGTCGCATAGTAGCGTCCGTACACGCTCGTGTCACACAGCTGCCCGACGCACACAGGTGTCAGAGAGATATTGGATCCAGAGGCAAAGCCAAAGATGACAGCATAGACGATCGACAGTGCCTTGATAGCCATGGCTTCTGATGGTGTGGTGGGCGTCAGTAAGGATGCTGGTAGCCAAAATGTCAACGACGAAGCCGAGCAGACTGCAAGCATGGCGATCATGCTGTTGAATCGACCGAGCTTGTCTGCAAGTATACCTGGCAACCAGCGTCCAATGCAGCTGCCAGCGTTGAAAATGGCAGTCAGCTGGTACGAGAATGCTGGGGTGAAGGCGCCAGTCGACTGTGCAAAGGTCGTGAGGTAGGTAATGGGTATAAAAAGCGCCCATTCCATCATGAAGATACCAACTGTGAGTAGCAGGTAGGACTTGTGACTGAAGATGCGGAAATCGGGCATGATCGACTGTCCCGGCTTGGGTGGAAGACGCGAGCGGATCAACAGGCAGGCAATGATGCAACAGAAGATATCAATAAAACCTATGATCCTAGTGGCCCATGCAAAGCCAACCGATGGTAGCAGTTTCTGCAATGCCAAGGGGAAGATGACACCTCCAATGGATCCTCCAGTAGCTGCAAGACCAGTGGCATTACCACGCTTCTGGTGGAAGAAGTGGCTAACCGCTGCAAAAGCCGGGGTGAAGATCAACGACGTTCCAACACCACCGAGAACGCCAAAAACGAGGAAGAATTGCCAGTACTTGGTGCATAGGCCGAGGAGGAGGTTGGATAAGCAAAGCAGTATACTGCCTGCGAGAACCAGAAGTCGCGGACCATGAGCATCGAAAATGGGTCCAATCTGAAGTCCACAGAAGAAGGACAGGAAGACATACATGGAAAAGATCCAGCTAATGGTGCTTTCAGGGTAGTCTTGCAGAAAATGCTCGGCAATGTATGCATGGTAGATACCGACGGTGTTCATCATACCCAGTGCAGCAACAAGGCCCATGAATGATCCTAGGACAACAGACCAGGCTCCCAGGCCGCCTTCAGGGTAGGTAACCTCATCGTCATTGTGTGAGGTCGAGGGGGTGGCTTCTTCATCTCCAGTTACAGTGGAGCTTTTTGGATTCCCCGTCCATTTCTCCGATACCGGGGGTGCGGCAGAGTGAGTTTGGGCACTGAGGCATGGTTGAAGCGTATCAGCTGGTGGAATAGTAAATTCGGCGTGGGGGAAGGTGTTCACTCTGGTGAGCGTGTTGGGTTCTGTAATTGGTCCTGGCGTGCTGCCTTTTTCGTCGCCGTTCATGCGAAACGCCGGCTGCGTAACGTTTCAAAGGGGGAGATGATATGGTTGCGCGCAATGCGCCTGTTGGGGTTGGTGTTTTGTTGGTGTTGGAGAGTGAGGGATTGATGTTCAGATTTTGGTTGGGAACGTGCGAGGTCGGCTACGCTCTTAAACCCGCTGATCTATGACGCGGGCGGTGAGTCGGCTGTATTCTGTCTTCCCAAGAGGAAGTTTTTCCAGAGCTGTGGTCCCCGAGTGATAAAGCCGTCCGTGTGTTTGCGCCAGCTGGGGCGGTGGGGGGTTGTGGGGTTAAATAAGAGTAGACGGTCGTCCACAAGTTTTGTCTGTGCCGTCTCGAGCTAATAGCATTGTTGCATGGAAAAAGTGGCAGACGAACATGAGATTTCGGCGTCTGCAATTGGGCAATGAATCGAAACAAGCCAGAAGGAGAGGAGGCATCGGAAAAGGGTCGGATTGTCGTATCGGGCGCTGCCGAGCGAAGTTGGCTATTCCCGGTCGAAAAGGATTGGTGGGCCTAGGTCGAGAGCCAAGAGCTTGTTACATAATCGCAGTTCTGCCGGTCAAGGAAATCATGGCAACGACCGCCCAAAGTCATAAAGTAAAAGATGGAATACAGCAAAGCAACGCAACGCAACGCAACGCAACGTGAAGATCCTCGATTAGAGTTGGGTGTGCAAGGCGGCCTGCAACTCTGGGAACAGCAGCACTTGGAGCCTCCTTTGAAGTTCAGCGGCATCAAACTCGAAGAGTGTCTCGTAAGGATTGCCAATGAGCTTCAGCATCATAGCTGCGTCGTTCTCAGGCCAGATATGACGCAGGAGCGCCTCGGCGACAAACACAGCCTGAGCATGGCTTGTCGTGGCTTCCCAGATGGCAATCCACCAGTGCTCCGGGAGGAACATGACAGTGTCGAGGACCTCGTCGCAACGGTGCGAGACGTGCGAGCTGAAGACCGTAGTGGGCTCTAAGGAGTACATATTGGCTTCTGACATCTCAAAAATACTGTTGCAGACTCACCGAGTATCTTGGCGCGAACTGCAGCATCGGCAGATGCTGTCTTGCCGCACCCAAGAGCCTCGTAGAAAGGGTTGGATGGGCAATACAGCATCGCCGTGTATAGGAGCAGCCAGCAGCCGCGGAAGTGCCAACGCTCGTCGGCGGGCGCATCCTTGTCGCGGGATTCCTTCAAGACTTGTAGGTTCTCTTCCAGGGTGGTGTAAAGGGTCTCGATGCCTTCTTCCTCCTCGGTTGCCAAAGTCTAGTGTAGTATTAGTATGAACAACGAGTTGGTATGGGGCGGCTTCAGTCCAACCAATAGTGGAACGTTCAGTCCGGAGCCGCATTGACGGGCTCACGGACAGGCTCGACCTCCTCTGGCTTCGTGATGCTGGTCTCTGTACTGACGTTCTGAAGGGTGTTGGCCTCTTCGCCCGCCCGTTTCTCTGCTGAAGTCGAAGTGCGCGCGGTCTTGCATTTGAACATCGACTTGACCTTGCCGACGAACTTGGTCTTCAGGTCCTTGATATCACGGCGGAGAAGTGTGGACACGTGCTTGGGGCTGTAGGGCAGCACGTCTCTGGCAGCCTGTCGGAAACTCATTGCGATCGAGATTTTCCGTGGTGGCGACTGCGAACTGTCAGTGAGAAGGCTTGAGAATCCAGTGGCGCACGCGCGTAAACGATCAAACTGCCGTAGAGGGGCTACTCGCCTGTTGCGGTTGATGTACTGGACAAGTGTTACTTGTCGAGGGGGCGGGAAATCTGGAGGACTGATGTTCGAAGATGTTAGTAGGTTTTCAAAGTTGCTGCAAGTTGCTGCAAGTGTGGTGTCAAGATGTCTACTGCGAAGCTGCTGAGGAGAGGAAGAGCAAAGGAGGGAAGCGGGCGTCTTTTATATGAGGGGCGAGTAGGCAACGATGAGCTTGAAAGCTATCACGATGAATGTGAAGTGAGGGCGGAGATGATCAATGTAGGTTGGACAGAGAGTCACTTTCACCTGGCTGAGACCAATGAGAGCAGATCATTTCGTTTGTCTACTCACATGAACAGTAGGAGCATCATAGCCTGCGCGAAATCAAAACAAAATGTACTGCAGAGGCGACCAAGTGACAGCAGCCCGACCCGAGGGCTCGAAGGCGGACGGACGGACGTTGAACTCGATGATACTTGCAGTTCAAGATGCAGCGTGAAGGTTTAGCAGAACGTCATGATAGACAGCATGGAATAGGTCAACCAACATAATCCATCGAGTCCAAAAGCTCATAGCTTCCACTCGATGGACTCTGAAATATCCAGCACAGCTTCCTCACACCACGCCCCAAAGCTCCAAGGCTGCAGCCCTCTAGGCCAGTACCTTTGACGTGCACTTTCATCTTCATCGCCCTCTGCGGTCCCCATACTGACCCAGCAGCCCCTCGCCCTCGGAACCTTGGCATCGATAGTATACGCCGCCCATCGATCCGTACCTACGCAAAGCGCCTCTTCGCCCTTGTCAACATCATACGCATCCATCTCGGCATCCAGCTCCTCTTTCACAGCCTCCATTCTCCTCGCAGGTTCTGGGATAGGCGGCTGCACTTGCATCAAGCTCATCGGTACCCACTTGGTATTGACCGGCAAAGCGGGAATCCATCTCCAGGGTCTGAGCGTACACTCGAAGAAAGGTGCGGCGCCATCGCCGTCCTTGCTGGTGGGTGGAAAGACTTGGACTCTGAGTGATGCAGGAGGCGGCTGGCCGGCGAGCGTGGGCGGCGCTGAGAAGGAGAAACGGGCGAGATGCTTGGGGATATTCCAGTTTAGGCGGCCGTTATACATGGTGGTCCGTTGGGAGACGTAGATGCGGGCAATGCGTAGGGCTGATTTGGGGATTTTAGGAGGCGTGCTTGCACCTTGGGGAACACTGAAGTTGCCGGGAATGAGCATGAGTTCGTCATAGGAGCCTGATGGGGGGTTAGTGTTGGATGCCTAGACATGTTGATATGCGTCGTAGAGGGTGGTCGAAACGGTTAGGACCATGATCACAGCATTATATCAGTCGCAGATGTGTTCGAAGACAAGATATCATGGGTAGTCTGGACTTGTTCGACAGGGTAACGAATGACTTGATGTTATGACGATATAGAAAGAGGTTGAGGGCATATGAAAAGAGGTGAAGAGCATATGAAAAGAGGTGAAGAGCATATGAAAAGAGGTGAAGAGCATATAAAATGAGATGACGAGTATATGAAAAGACCTTGAGACCATACGAAAGGAGTTCAAGACCCCATAAAAAGATATCCAGGCCATGTAAAGAAGGTTGAGAGCATTCGAAAGAGCTCAAGACCAAACGAAAGTAAATCAAACGCCATGAAAAGAGCCCAACACCATATAAAAAGATGTCAACCCCCCCACAAACAACAAACCACCCCATGCCAAAAAAGAAAAAGAGAACAAACACCAAAAAAAAACATCAAGCATACCAACAGGCGTCCGCCCATACCTCACAATCATGACAACCCCAAACCCGCCCTCAAACCCGCCCATCTCGTCCCTCCCCCACGCCTCCTCAGCCCCGTCATACACACCCTCTGGCAACGCCGCCATCCTCACAAACAGCAGATAGGTCTCGGCGTGCAGTGTCCACGGCGCCTTGGACCTCGGTACGGGATGGGTGTTGGGCTCTGTGAGCAGGGATGGGCTCATGGTGGCTGGCTGTTGGGGTGGTGGGGATCGGGGGAGGGAGAGGGAGCAGGATAGTGTGTGTACAGTAGAGATGGAAGGGGGAGGGGGAGGTGGTTGTGATGGTAGTGGCGCTGGATTATGGTGGATCGGAATGGTAGGGAGGTATGTCGGTGGCGGAAAATAGCACACGACAGGCTGGTTGGGATGTTTGTTGGGAATTCCCCAGGTCGGAACACGTTGTTGCCTTGTGAAAGAGCGTGGATGGGAGTGAGGGTGGTACTTAGTAGCTCTTGCCCTTGCGGTTACCGGTACCGTAGTACCTATTCTAGGCTGGGCAACAACCACCCACCGTAGAGTACTCGTACCTAGGCAACTATGATGTTGAGCAGGGATTTCTTGTTGTTTTTGCTGCCCCGGCGGATCTGCATGTCATTGTTGGGCAGGGACTTTATTCGCGGCTGTGGCTGAGGGGGGAATTGTGGCGGGTGGAGGCTCGTCCCCCCGTTCTGGTCGGCGATGTGGGTTTTGACGGCGATTCGTGATGGAAGTTGCCGGGTCGGGTGAAGGAGGGCTGGGCCGGAAGGGGAATGGGAGGGCAGTTGGTGAGGAGGGTAGGGAATCGGCAAGGATGGTGCTGGCGATGGACCTGAGCCTCTGAGCCTCTGAGGAGGGCGCAGTTCATATAACCATGGAATTAGCGCTGCGTGAACTCGTATTTAGCATAGGGTTAGGCCGTGCCAAGCTCTACTAGCTAGCTAAGCAAGGTTAACTAAATATTATACTATAAGATTTTATAACGCGTTCTAAACCTATTCTAAATATATTCTATACTAGTAATACTATAAGCTACTACTACTATACCTATTACTAACGCATCCCTCTTATCTGTGAAGGGCTTAGGCTTATGCCCAAGCCTAGGTCTAACACAAGATAGACTAAGTCTAACACCACTACTAAGCGAACACACTAGACACCTATAAAAAGGCGTAGAGGGCTTATCTCTCCTTTAAGATACTAAATACTATTATTAATACTTATTATATTCTTCCCTTAAGGCTAGTCTATAATATTTTAGTATCTTCTTCTAAATATACTATAATAGTAATAAGAGATAGACGCGCTAGATATTTAGAATAACTAGGTGCAACCTAATATAGTAGAAAGGCTAATATAATAGGTTTATAGATTAATAGAATAATAGGCTTAAGACTCTACTATAATAGCTATACTACGTTAATAGAACAAGGAAATACGCAATTAGATTCTATCCTAACCCTCCTCTAAGCCCGCTAGGTTTAATAACATGCTGCCTCTACCCTCTCCTACCTTATATTATAAGCCTTTCCTAGTTAGCTTACTATATAATAGCACTAAGGTAAACTTCTCCTCCTAGTAAATAACTATAGAGTTTAAACTGCGTGTAGATAAGGTCTTTATTAGGGATAAGGAGGCAAGGTTTATATATATTTAGTCCTAGTTATTACCTATAGTCTAGCGCGCTATAGCACTATACTTTAAGGATAGTACACGTAAGCGTTAGGATATAAGCAGGTTTCTTAACTACCTAGTATTCTATTATAGTAACTATTATAGGTAGGAGCGCGCCTAAGTTACGTTAGAACACTTATATTAGGGCTAAAATTAGCCTTTTATAGAGTTCTTTATAAATTTTATGCAGCTCCTTATATAGTTAGGAGGTTTATACTAGGATAATAAATAAAAGCTTTTATAACTTTAGCAATCTCTTAATAGTTATATACGCTTAGTTTCCCTTAATAGGGGAGTCTTTAGGACAAACTATAACGCAGCTATAGAGGAATATAAGATAATTATAGTAGATATTAAAATAGCCTCTCTAGAACTAGGTTTTCTCTAGGCTAGTAAGTCTAAGGAACCCTAGTAGAAGTCTAACTTAGATTAGGATAGCAACACAAATATAGTAGAAGTAGTAGCCTTATTAAGTGCACCTACTAAACTACTAATATTACGCCCTAATTAGATCCTATAGGACCTATTTAATGCATAGAAACTAGTAAGGGTCTGCACCTAGTGTAGATAGGGCGGTTATTTTATGCGTGTATGCCCTAATACCCTATTACTGCAACTAGTAGGTGTTAAGATAGTTGCAGTATTAGTAAGCGGCCCTAATTTAGGAAACTAGCTACCCCTAACCTTAGGCTAAGTTAAGGGTATAAGGAGGACACTATAATAGAGGAATTATTAATAGTAGAGGCTATTAAGTGTCCCCTAGATATTAAGGCTAGGTTAAATAATCCACCTTTCTTTATTCCCCTCCTCCTAGGTAGAGTAGAGAACGTGTAAGTAATAGTTAATTTAGGGTGCTAGTGTTTTAGTGTAGTTAAGGAAAAGTTAGTAAAATAGATTAGGAGGAACTTTATTAATATTCCCCCGCGACCCTTGCAATATACCTAGGGAATTACTAAGGGTACAAGAATTTTATAGTTAGTGGCATTAGACTATAATTTAGATAGTTAGTAGTCTTAGCTTTTAGCTTATATAGTACCTAGTCTCTCCTATTAACTAATACTAGGCAGACTATAGCTATGTAGAGAGGGCGTTGTTATAGACATTCTATAAGGTAAATTAATAATTAGGAAGGCAGGAAATATAGTAGTATAAGAGAGCAGGAGACGCCTATATCCTACCTATATCTCTACTATCTTAGGTTTAGTTATAGTAGGGTTACTAAATTAAGGATCCTAATAGGAAGATATATAGGTACAAATTTTTGTAATAAATATACTAGATATTTTATAGGTAATATATAACTCGCGCTTAATAAAATATCTAGGAAGTGTTAATAAGGGAGGTCCTATTAATATACACACTATCTATATTGCTAGTAACACAGTTCCCTATAAACCTAAGTATAAAACTAGAAAGATAAAGTTGCTACTAGAACTGCAAGAATTTAAGGACCTGTTTAATAAAGAGTTAGTAAGTAGTTTGCTACCTTATTAAGGTAGTATAGATTACTATGTTTAGTTAATAACTCTTCTAGACAGAACCTAGCCTAACCCCCTATAGGGTCCCCTATACCCTATATTGCGTGACTAATTACTAGAACTAAGAACATAACTTACTAGATTAATAGATAAGGGCTAGATCTAAGCAAGCTCTTCTATAGCTAGAGCTCTAGTATTACTAGTAAAGAAGCTATTAGGAGATTAGCGCCTCTGTGTAGATTACTAGATGCTTAACAGCATAATAATATTAGACTAATACCTACTACTACTTATTAAGGAAACTTTGCGCACACTATTTAGTGTAAATTAGTTTATAAAAGTAGATATTCGCGCTACCTTTTATAAAGTTAGAATAGTAGAAGGTTATAAGTCCTTAATAGCTTTCTGCACCTAGTTTAGGTTGTATAAATAGTTAGTATATCTATTTAGTCTTAGTAGTGCGCTATCTACTTTCTAATAATATATTAATGCTACGCTTGTAGAGTTACTTAGATTATATATAATAGCCTACCTTAATAATATCCTAATTTATTTAGGAGAAGACTAGTTTAACTATATAAAAAAAGTAAAGTGTGTACTTATACTATTAAAAGAAGTAGGACTACACCTAGACTTAGAGAAATGTGCTTTTAGTATTAAGGAAGTACGCTACCTAGGCTATATTATTAAGGCGGGCAAATTACTTAGACCTAACCCTAAAAAGCTTAGGGCAGTATAGGAATAGGAATCCCCTAGGAATATAAGAGAGGTAAGGAGTTTTCTAGGTTTTGCTAACTTCTACCGTAATTTTATTGTAAAGTTTTCTAAAGTAGTAGCACCTTTAAACTAACTAACTAGGAAGGACACCCTATTCTAATAGGGGGAGGAAGAATAGAGTGTATTTAATATACTAAAAAAGGCATTTATATCTAGACTAGTACTAACATAATAGGACCTAGCTAAAGAAATGTTATTAGAAGCGGACTATTTAGGATATACTCTTAGGGGTTGCTTATTGCAAAAAGTTAGGGGCGTCTAGTGCCTAGTTGCTTACTACTCTATAGCACTAACGCTAGAGAGACAAAACTACACTATACACGACAAGGAATTGCTAGCTATTATTAAGTGTCTTAAAAGCTAGTTAGTAGAATTATAGAGTATTTACAAACTATTTATAATATTCACAGACTATAAAAACCTAGAGTATTTTACTAGCCTTTAAAGCTTAAGTAAGTAATAGTGCTGCTAGGCAGAGGAACTTTCTAAATACTAGTATATCCTATAGTATAGACCTAGCTATCTTATAGGATAACCTAATACCTTAAGTAGGTAACTATAAGACTTAAACCCCTCTAAAGCAACACTATAGTTAGTAATGCGCCCTAAATTAATTTAGGTTGTAGTGTTAGAAGTAGAGGAGGCGTCTAAGTTACTAAAGGGCGCTAGCCTTTTCGCTAACCTATATATGCAGATACTATAGGATAAAGTAGTATTAGAAGATAAGATATACTAAGTGCGTCTTAATATAGTTTAGAAAGGCGCTAGGTCTTTCCTAGTTCTAGCTAATATAAAGTAATAGATTAGGGACTATACAATTAGCGCACACAGCACTTTGCTTTAGAGGGGCGTTATTTAGTTACTAATATAGGAACCCCTTATAACTACTATTATATAGCAAGCACATAAATTAGGTTTAGTAGGATATCTAGGAAAGAACACAATATTTTAAATACTGCGCTATAACTATTATTAGGATAGAATATTAGGAGATGTTACATAGTATATTTAGAACTGCTATTGTTATAGTGCTTATATCTCCTAGAAGCGCTAATAGGGTCTATTATAACCTATACTAGTTGCGTTACAATACTAGTCCTAAATATCTATAGATTTTATAGTTAACCTACCTACAAAAGATAATAGCAAACCTTAGTACCTATTAGTTATTACTAACAGATTATCTAAATATATTTAGCTTAAAGTAACAGTCTCTATAGCAGCTAATTATTGTGCAAGGATCTTCTAGAATAACTAGTAGCAGTTCTAGGGCTTCCT